TATTAGTAGTTGCTAGTTATTTATTTATCAAATTCACTTACACTTCTCCACCAATGTGGCATTTGGGACGCACAATCTCCCCCACTTAAATGCCTAGTATTATCATTAAGCCTAATCATAATAAAAACTAGGTCTACTAGGCTACCAATGTAGGATCCACCTCAAGGGCCATCATGGTCAACATGGGCTCACATTTGTGAGAGGTTGTAATATCCCAAAATTTGTGATATTTTAGCATTTAAGTAAGGATTTTTGTGTGAGAAAATATTATTTTAGGACTTATTAGCTAAAATATCCAAAATTGAGGGGCTTAAAAGGGGAAAGAAATTGGATAAGGATCCAGCTAATATTTCTTCTTTTTCCCCTCAGCCATTTACATGTTTTGCTATTTTTCTTCACCCCCGACAGCTTCCGAAAAGACCCAACCACCGACTCCCCTTCCCTAGAGAAAAATCGGTAAGAAGCTTGAGATTTTCCCTTCTTTTCTTGTTGAAGGACAAGTTTTAGGACTTAGAACTCTCTCTCTCAACCCAGAAATTTTCAGATCTGCTGCTGACTTCTCCCTCCTTTGCCGCCGGTTGCTACTGTGGGTAGTGGGTTCGGTTTTTCCGGTAAGCCACAGCCATGAACTTCATCTTTTCATCTTGATTTAGCGTGGGTTCATTTTAAATCTGTTGTTCCTTCAATTTTGGGTTAATTCCGTGAGTCCCCTGCAGAATTGCCGCCGGCTTCTACCCCCACTAGGTCCGGTTCTGCAACTGGAAAATTCTGGTATGTTGACAGCTCCTCCAAGCCCGAAATTTCATCAATTGGTTGCTGAATTTTGTCCATTTATTTGCTGCCCAGTTCTGTCCGAATTTTGCTGAAAAATGGGGATGAATTTCGGTAGTAATTAGAGCATAATTAAGTTTAATTCATGTAGAAAATTATGCTTATTTTGGCTGCTGTGATTTTTGGAGAAAACCCGGTGATTAGCTATTGTTTTGCCAATTTTGGAAGATGCAGTTACTGTTTACGGTACTGTTTACGAGCACTGTTCATAGGTACTGTTCACGCACTGATGGCCAACAATTAACGGGAATTAAATGATTAGTTTGTAATATTGAGAATAAAATTGAGATGTTTGGTCATATGATTAAATTTCGTGTGAAACTCATTGGTTAGTAAATTTGCAAGGATGTGCTAATAATTCTAGTAAAGTCTGAATGTATTTATTTGGAATATTAGGTGCTATCATGGCTTAGAGCACTGGGATTGAGTCCTCGGTTTATGTGACTGAGGTAAGTAAATTATGGTAATGCCTTTCGATTTTAAAGTACATTTTAGTTTGTTTTTGAAGTGGTGGCGGGACTAAACTCGTTTTACACAAGCATGATCGATTTGAAATGAAATTATTTTTTTTTTATTGAATTGAGCATGCCTACTTGAAATTTAATTCATTGTCCCGATGATCTGAAAGTGATTGGTGAAGTGTGATTTTCTGTTAAATTCTGCCTGTTTTGTCTCCAATATGGTCATGTTATTCGTGTGCCCGCAAGTGGGAGGTTTATAAATGCTAGCACATGTCGACATGTATTTCTATAGAGTCGGTTCCTCCTTGTTAAACACTGGTATTTCTGTGATCCTGCTAGTGAGATTATATACTAGTAAATCGTGTGCCTGTCAATGGGAGGTTTATAACACTGGCCATGACCTATAGAGGAGACGTTTATTTCGTTTCCGTACTCGTACCTGTTTTTCTTGATTATACTAGTCAGCATGCTATAAGTTTAATTAAGGGCTATCCATATTTACTTACTGAGTTATCTCATAGTTTTTTCTTGTCCATCATTTCAGGAAACGAAGTTAAGGACGGGGAAAAACAAGGGGAGTGACGAGTTAGAAGGCTAGTCATCTTGTAAATTGAGCATAGATTTAGATATAAATCATAATCTTATAAATTAGACTTTATTTGGAGATTTTATGATATCAAAGCAAATTTTATAACTTTATCTTCAGATTGTGGTATGATAAGTTTCGAGTCTTATGCATTTATGGGACCCTCTCACAAGTGTACGGCGTCTGCCACGTCTCCGGATTTGGGTTCTGGGGCGTGACAGAGATAATCACTCTAATACCAACTAAAACAACCTAGGCCAAAGCCCATCAAAAGGTTAACTTCAAGTTCTTAATTTTAGTTGGTCATTAATATATTAAATTCACTCACACTTCCTTACCAATGTGGGATTTGGGGTATCACAATTTGTTTAGTGATCGTCATCATCTTCATTCTAAAGTTTCAAACCCTCAAAAAGAACTTTTCCTTGGGTTGTAATGGGGTTTTGATTTT